GAATCTTTTCCCCACTCAATGTTTTTAATTGGCTTGTCAAAGAGCAAATAATGGTAAGTAGCTGGGTTCATCTCTTGGTTCTCTATCCTGTTCTAAATATCTACCTCTCTATTTTTGTGCCAGTACCATGCTGTTTTGATCACTATTGATTTATAGTAGATCAAACAATGGTAAGTAGCTGGGTTCATCTCTTAGTTCTATATTCTGTTCCATATATCTACCTCCCTGTTTCTGTGACAGTACCATGCTGTTTTGATCACTATAGATTTATAGTATATGCTGGGTTTCTTTAGTCAGCCATCTTGAAGTACTCCCACCCTTAAAGTTCCTTTTGATTCAAGTGTTCATGAGTTACATAATTTACTATGCAAAATTTTATGATAGGGGCTCGGCGCCTGTGGCTCAAGCCACTAAGGAGCCAGCCACATACACCTGAGCTGGCAGGTTCGAATCCAGTCCAGGCCCGCCAAACAACAATGACGGCTGCAACCAAAATATAGCCAAGCATTGTGGCAGGTGCCTGGAATCCTAGGGAGGCAGAGACAGGAGAATTGCTTGAGCCCAGAAGTTGGAGGTTGCTGTGAGCTGTGATGACACAGCACTCTACCCAGGGTAACAGCTTGAGGCTCTGTCTCAAAAAAAAAAAAAAATTAGGGCAGCACCTATGGCTCAAAAGGATAGGGCACCAGCCCCATATGCCAGAGGTGGTGGGTTCATACCTAGCCCTGGCCAAAAACTGCAAAATAAAAAAATTAATTAAAAAAATTATACTATGAAATTAGTAGAAATAATAATGTGTTAGCTATTTGTATCAATTATCCTATACAGTCTTTTATTTCTACCACATATTTCACATGTTCTATTAATAAATTGGTCTCATGTAAACCATAGAACATGTGCTTGGAAAACACAAACTGCACATCCTCTGTATTCATTAAAGTTTTATGCCATGTGAAATTGTGATTACACTTTATAAAGGCTTTACTTAACTACTCTCTTAAATCTGTGTCCTTATAGGAGGCAAGGTCCAAACAGAGATAGAGACTGTTCCAGAAGCAAGACCACATGAAGAGTTGTCCTGCCAGCAAATCTGGGAACAAAGTGTTTATGATTTAACCAGGTCCCAAGACTCCGTGATAAGTAGCTCTCAATTCTCCAAACAAGGTGATGTCCCCCAAATTGAGGCAGGAATATCAGGACTATCAGGACTATCTGTTATTCAAACAGGACAGACTACTTCCCAGCATAAAGATTGTAAACAGTCCTTCAGTAATGGCTTGTCTTTGATCTTCATCAGCAGTTACATGCAAGAGAGAAGTCTCATCTATGTGCTGAGTGCGGAAAGAGTTTCTGTTACACATCATCTCTTTGCATTCATCAGAAAGCCCACAAGGGGGAGAACCTCTGTAAGTGTGATGTGTGTAGTAAGGAATTCAGTCAGAGCTCACATCTGCAAACTCATCAGAAAGTCCACACTGCAGTGAAACGATTCAAATGTGAGCAGTGTGGGAAAGGCTTCAATTATAGATCAGGACTTTGTGGTCATCACAAATTACATAAAGGAGAGGAACCTTATAATTGTAAGGAATGTGGAAGGGCCTTCATTCATGATTCACAGCTTCAGGAACATCAAAGAACCCATGCTGGGAAGAAACTGTTCAAATGTGAGATATGTGGTGAGAGCTTCCATAGTAGATCAGATCTTAATAGAAATTTCGTGTTTCACATGCAAGAGAAACCATTCAGATGTGATACTTGTGATAATAGCTTTGTTCAGAGGTCAGCACTACATGAGCATTGCATTGTCTTCAAAGGAGAGAAACCATACAAATGTGAGGAGTGTGGGAAAGGCTTTATTTATAGGCAAGATCTTTATAAGCATCATATGGACCACACAGGAGATAATTGTGAAGATTGTGGGAAGAGCTTCAGATGGTCCTCAAGTCTATCAAGACATCAGCATGTCCACAGTGGTCGAACACCGTTCAAATGTGGGAAGGGATTTTGTATGAATTTACAACACTATTCCTATCAGAAAGTCCACAGTGTAGAAAAGTCATACAAATGTAAGAAATGTGGGAAGGTCTATATTAGTAAGTTTAATCTTGAGTTGCACCAGAGCGTCCACACAGGAGAGAGACCATATAAGTGTAAGAAATGTGGGAAGAGCTTTAGCGGCACTCAGGTATCCACAGTAGAGAAAAACCATTCAAATGTGAAGAGTTGGGAGGAGATTTGCTGAGAATTCAAAACTTCATTCCCATCAGAGTTCACACGGGGGAAAAGCCACCCAGATGTGAGGAGTGTGGAAAAGACTTCAGATGGTCAATGCACTTAACCCATCAGAGACTCCATAGCAGAGAAAAACCATTCAAATGTAAGGACTGTGGGAAGAGCTTTGTGCATAGTTCCTACCTTAAAGATCAGTGAAGAGACCACAGTGGAGAAAAAACATACAAATGTGAGGACTGTGAGAAGGGATATAAGAGGCGCTTGAGTCTTGATATGCTTTTATCATTATTATTATTATTATTTGCTGGGGGCTGGGTTTGGACCTGCCACCTCCAATATATGGAGCTGGCACCCTACCCCTTTGAGCCACAGGTGCCGCCCTTTTTATCATTATTTTTAAATGACACATGGTTATTATACATATGAACAGGGTGTGTAGTCCACTGTTATATTTCAATTATGTATACAATGTGTAATGATCAAATCAGTGTAATTATTATACCATATCCATCACCTCAAAGTTTACTATTCTAGCTACTTGAAAACAAACACTTAAATTGTTAATTATAGTCATCTTGTGATGTAGAATGTTAGAACTTATTCCTCCTAATGAGCTGTACTTTTGTATCCATTACTCAACCTTTGGCTATCCTCCCCTCTCTGTCACCCACACGCACCCTTTCTTGCCTATAATAATCACTCTATTCTACTCTCCATGGCTACAAGGTCAACATTTTTTACTTTCACATATGAGTAAGATTATGTAGTGTTTATCTTTCTGTGTCTAGCTTATATCACTTAACAGAATTTTCTCCAAAGCTCACCTATATTGCCACAAGTGACCAAATGTTGGGTTTTTTAATGGCTGAATAGTATTCCATTTTGTATATATACACATTTTCTTTATTCATCTGTCAGTGGACATTTAGGTTGAGACCATATTTGGCTATTGTGAATAGTGTTGCAATAAACATGGGAGTGCAGGTATCTTTACTACAGTGATTTACTTTTCTTTGGATATAAACCCAATAGTGGACTTGGTAGATTACTTGTAAGGCAATGACTCTTGCACACTCCTGATGTTACTTCCTTAATGGACTTGGTAAGATATGGAAGAATTCCCTGAATTAGCAGGCAGAGACTCTCACAATAGAAAAGTGAGCAGAAGATTTACAAAAATTACAAGAATGGCACCAGAAAATATGCAAAGATGTTTCATTTTAGGTACAAAACAAGAAGTACAAATTAAAGCTACATTTAGATACCATTTATTACCATGAGAATGGCAAGACTTAATTCCTAGAAGATTGTTATCTTCTCCTTTGTTCATTTCCCAAAAAATTTCCCATCATAATTGGAGACATTTAGACTGGAGGAAGCCAGGTTTATTCAATATTTACAAGTTTTGGTGACTCCCGAAGACAGACTACTCTCAATCTAACAGACCACACTTCGGACCACACACTCTGAGAAGTGGCATTGGGAAGTGCAGCAAGAAGCTGGGCGCGTTCGTGACACTTCCCCTGGAGGGTGAAACTAGGGACGCTTTCCGTTCCGCTTCCAAAGGCGAGTGCTCTGGCACTCGGGGTGCTTGCAGTGACTTCCGCTCAGGCCGAGGGATTCGGGGAATCCTGGGAAGTGTAGTCCAGACGCTCGGCAGTTTCGCTGAGGCCTCGGCTCTGGGATTGTGAGGTTCCCACCTTTTTGTCAGTAGTAGCTGGGGTGAGTTCCTCGCTTGCAGGCCCATCTGAGTTTTCTGGACGTACTGTTTGGATCCTCAATAAACTGGTGATCGATTTAGGGGAAAAGAAGCCTCACCGGAGAGCAGAGGTTTGCTTGGAGGGCCGGGGTGGCGGTTTTCGTTCCTCTCCGTGGAGCTCTTGCATTTGGGGCTGTCCTTGCTCCCCGGGGGAGTTTGGACTTAGTAGTGTAGCATTTTGCCTAGTTTGAGGGTGTACTGGGCTCTCAGTTTGCCCAATCCGTCTTCTTCCAATACATACATGAAGCCGCTTTCTCGCATTGTAAATTTAGGGCATTTAAAAATCACCCCGTACTCCCCGTCACCGTTCTTTAAAATGGAGATATTAGGAACTTCCTATTAGAATTGTTTTGGGAGCTGACAGAGGCAGTAAAAAGGAAAACCTCAAAACAGTTCCTGTCAAGTGAAGAGTGCTGATCTCCTGTTATTACTGATTTACCAGCAAGCAGTCAGGTCTCCTGGTTGTGGGCAGAGCTCCAGCGGCGGTGGCTCAGGCCCTTCTCTGTGATCTCTGCGGTGCGCTGTGTAATTCCAGACGCCTTCTAATCTCATTTTTGGAAGGCGAGGATTGCTCCACCTTCCCCGAAGGGAGAGGGGCGCATTTCACTGTCGTAGGCGACCTAACGGTCAGCGTGTTTCACAGCTTTCTCCTTCCGTAGCCTGGCTTTTGAATAATACTGCACGTAGTGACTGGCTGGCTACTGAAAGCAAAGCTCTCTCTACGCGAGCGGTGCTTGGCTTGTTTCTTTTACAGGTTTGTTCACCTCAACCAAGAATATATAGAACGTGTTCTCCAGTACGGGTGTTGATAATCATTAAGCCTTAATTGCTAACTTCATTCCAAGGCCTTTATACAAATAAATAATTTATGTTATACCGTGGCTCTCTGGAGAGTTACTGCTTTTGTCCCTTTTAAAGATTAGAGTGAGTCCTAGGGAGCACAAGTTACTTGCCTATAGTCATCCACGTACTAAGAGGCGGAGCTGGGCTTGGACCCTAAGCAGTTCTGAGTTAATAAAAGCTGGGATACATTGTCACGCAGGAGTAGGATCTAGCTGGAATCAGGTG